AAGAAAAAGTGGAAAGAAATCACTAAAAATTGATCAAACGTGAAAATTTCTGGTGTTTGCAGCTTCTTTCCTTTTTCTCCTTTTCTTTTCTTCTCTCCATGTGTATCAGTTTTCTTTCCTGCTTTGACTTTTTCCTTCCTTTCTTTCTTTCTCACTTTCTCTTTCTTTTCTTCTTTCTTTTCTCTTCTTTCTCTGTATCTCTTCTGCCCTTTTTTTGCCTGCAATTCGTCCCCACTTGTCTCTGTAATGCGTGCATATAAATTCCTACCTGCCAGCTATTTTGTTTTAGGGTAATTTGAATTCCAAGTCCAAATAGATTTGAGTCCAAATCAAAGTACAGCCCATTTTAATAATAAATTTCACTTCTTTCCTGCCATCTTAAATTGTAATTTTCACCAATGTCCAACGTTATTTTAGAATGTGCATTCTAGCCCTTCAATTTCCAACGTGTGAAATATTATCTCCGAAATTGCTGATTTCATTCAATTTCATCATTCTTTTATTTCCAATTGCTTCGAACGAGTCCATAACTAAAAACAAAAGAAAAATAACCCAAGTTAAGTAGAAATTAATAATTTAATGACATAAAATCCTAGTAATATAACCTAAGTAAGTACACAAAATGCACTTATCACTTGATATAATTCTTGGTACCATCATCGTCACTACCTTGTGTTCCAGAAGCCGTGCTTTCAACTGAGTGAATCTTACAATACCGCAAACAATTGCAATGGTTATTGTCATGACATCAATGGTCCAAGGCATATTACTAAGTTGATAGTATTTGGAATTCCTATTTTTTTAAAATTTTTTTTTTTGGGATTTGTTGCTCGTGCCTCATAGCTCCCAAGATGCTAGCATAAATCGACGTCTATAATAAGTTTTCAATGCTTGAATGATCCCATCATCACATGGTTGAATTTTTGAAGTGGTATTTATTAAGAGGCAAGAAATGTAGTTCAACGAAATAAATCCTAGGTTCTCTATCTTCTAGTTAAACGAAATAAATCCTATTAAAAGTATCAAATACTATGTGTTGACACACAAAAAGTGCAG